TTCGAGTAACCTTTTTAGAAGCATTTTGTACTCATTTTTCACAGAATATGTGCACGTATGTCTCAACAAAACAAAGAAAACAAACACTTTGCCGCATGTCTCGGTCGTCACCTCAAAAGTGTGTGGCGACAAGCTGCGATGTGTCCGTCTCTCGTCTCTGTCGCCTGCCTCGGTCGCTTGTCTCTGTCGCGTGCAGCCAAATTGTACCTTTAGTAGGAACTGCAGGTGGGCTGGGAAAAATCCTCCATAAATCTACCTTTCTTTTTCTTAGTAACAGTTGTGAAAGCATCCTGTTCAGTAATATTTATTGTCATGGATACAGACCTCATAGGGTTATTTCCTCATTTGTGACGTAATCGTGGCATCCTGGCACTGCAACCAGCTGATTACGGCGTCTGTTTGATCATTATGATTTACATTTTCAGAGGGTCCAATATGGCCAGTAATTACAACAAGGAGGTCCTTAATTTGGTATTTAATACCAGCATTGCTATTTTTTTAGATGTGCGAGATCTCCTCAGTAAATTTAGAAATCATTTCAGAAATCTGATTGACCATTAAGATGTACTGTCTTAATCTGTACACTAATATAATCCTTGTTACATACAGGGGGCAAAATTAATCGCCCCTCTGTAAAAAAAAAAAAAAATCTTCGTGGTATCGGATGCAATCTCATCAGTCCTAGATGTCTTCAGAAACCTGGCGCAGGCATCACAAATGCACAATGATCTCCAAGACGCGGTAAATATTGCAAAATCAGTGAGATCAACCTTCGGACAACCACAGTTAAATCGGATATCACAACTTTCATAGAAAGGCTTTCCGCAAACAGAACATAAATTCTTACTGAATACTGTAAGAGGCCAGTAGGATTAACATAACAGTAACTACAAAAAAATGGAATAAAAATCTGAAAAAGAACATCGTTTAATATCTGGTAAAAATCTGATAAAAATTTACGCTGGCGTAATGTATGAAAAATTGTATTTTGAATTATTTATCGTTATGAAGCTTTATATAATTATATACACCTGAGAATGGTTCTTTTAGGAACTGAAACATGTCGTGAAACATGAAAAATTATGGTCTAATGTAAATCGAATATTTCGATAAATAACATCATTTAATATTTTAAATGTTGAAATATTTTAATATTTAATAAGAATTTATTGTGATTATACGGACAAGGTTTAATATATACAAAGAACAAGCCCGCTCACCTAAAGCCAGAAATAATTTATTTATTTCAATAGTAACAATTCTGAATAACTTGCAGAACCACACATGCTCCGTCGAATATAGCGGTTAATATATTGGTGATACAGGACGTTGACACTGCGGTTCGCCCCTCGCTGGTGATAGCGCGGTACAACACGCTGTGGCTACAATTGAGTCGCGTGGCGCGTCAGACCGGCATAGCCATGTGTTATACCTACGGCTTCTACGTGCTGTACCTGTTCCTGATGACCACCGTCTCCATGTACGGCCTCATCTCCTGCCTGGAGCAGGGAATCGAGCAGCGCGTTATCTACCTGGCCGGCGACAGCCTGATCACGGGCACCGAACTCTTCATCGTCTGCGACGGCGCGAATTCCGTTACCCGGGAGGTAAGTGCATTGAGTGAGTTACCCGGGAGATCACTTTAATTACTTAACTCCGACCTACGAGATAATTCCGCTTAAATTAGTAAAATATGCGGGCAAATTCTAAAAGCGTAGGCTGTCTAGTTACTTACACGAACATTCAAAATTCAGTTCAATAATTAATTATTAACCCTTTGAAGCCGAAGCTCGTCTAAATATTATTTAATAAATCGGTCCGTACCGCGAAGAAAACACCACACTTCACCATTACTACGATCAACTGGTTAACGCTGTTTAAGGAAGTAATCGCTGTTTACACTGAGAACAATACGAAACCCATATATACAAAACGCAGAGTTATTAACTGTGTGAAGCAGGTGGTACATATAATTACCACTGGGTCTTAAAGGGTTAAAGCTAGTGAGCCAATTCCAGCAGGTAACAAGTAAAACAAAGCGAAGGTAAATAACTTTCTTTGCTTGTTACTCGGAATACATCAGTTATCCTTCTGTTTACAGGTGGGACTCACATTCCAAGGCAAGCTCTTGGACATCAGAAATGCACCAATAAGCGACAAGGTGGAAAAGGAGGTAGTCTCATTCTGTACAAAGAATTTGATTATCAGTTGGCGATAACATTGTTTCAAGACGTATACTTCAAAAAATTCAAACTTTCTTAATAAACTTCATATGTTGGGCGCCATTTATACAGGAATGTTCTCCCGACACGTAAACAAATATTTCCACTTAAATATAGAGCACTGATCATTAAAAAAGATAAAGGTTAAATGTGCACAAGGCCTTGATTCTCTAGACAAGCCAAAGTTATGTTTATCAAACACGAGAAAAACTATTTTTTGTAAACAAGTGAACAAAATCCTACCGTCATCGCTGTGTTGCAGGTTGATGCCTTCTTGAGAGCAATCGAATTGCGTCCTCCGGAAATCAATTTTGGAGGTTACGTCACCGTGAACAGAGGAATGCTGTTATCCGTAAGTTAAATTCCACTAGTTCTCCCGTCATGGTTCATTTTAACTAAAGCACGGAGCACAGCACTGCTTCCGTTCAGCACAGTAGCGTGTTATCAGTCACCATCAGCACAGATATTAAGAGTCGATACAAATTTTCATAAAAAAAACTATCAGTGTTGACGATCGAATAATATTGCACGTAGACACCACAAGGTGGCGTGAATAGTTGCCACATTTATTATCATGGTAGTGAGCACTGTGAATATGATTAATATGACTGTTTTTCAGCTGGGATCTATGATGGTAACGTACCTCGTGGTATTGCTGCAGCTCGACTTGTCCAAACCACAGATTCTTAGAGACGCCGTAAATGTAACCTCACCAACGACCACTGACGATGTTTCAGCTTAACTCCCATCACGCCAGTGTAGTGGGCAGACAGCTGCGATTGTCATTGTTTTCCCAAGATGTCAACAGTTTGGAAGGAAAATCAAAGAACAGTCAAGATATTTATGGATGCTACTCGCAAAACTTGGACGAATCCGCTGTTACATAAACTGCCACTTGGTGTATGTGCGCGTGCGCGCGCGTCACTTTGCAGATAGCCATGAACCGCACAGTGCGACTAGTTTTTCATGCCAATAGCGTTAAATCATCGATTCCTATGTTGCCATCTAAAGTAATTAAAGTATAAAGCTATATTCTTATCAGCATCGAAACTGCGCGATATGATTTCAGTAAATCTGATCGAAATGTTTCTCAGAAGATCTAAAAGTACTCGTATTATCTTTCGATACCTATCGATATAGAAAATCGATACTCTGCTTTCCACTACTCGTATTTCATCTCCCCTCTCGCGCGTCACCCTCAGGTCTTGTTTACTTAGTTTGCTAAGTGCGCTACATAAAACTACCCATAACCTTATCATAATTTCATCAGATCGATCCATTTGTAACATTAATGTTTCATATTGTTCTCACTGACAACATCTGAAAGGCCAAGAAAATACCCGTAAGCAAAATACGATCTCTATTAAAGACGTCAAAGTGCCTACAGACACCCACAGCACAAACACATTTGGCTGAGAGACTGACCTTGGAGTTACAATGCACAAATCTAACATGGAGACCAGCTATGCTCACTGTAGTGTCTGTCTCCAGTGGATTCACACAAATGTAGGTATGCTTTCATGAATTAGTCCACAACCACTTACTTCCATATCACCCAACTTCTGTCCACTTTAATGGTTCCCTGGTCTTGCCTACACAAACACAATGGCTCAGAGGCCGATCACCTCTTATCGAATGGCTACTTGGGATGCTTCAACAGAGGTAGGTATGTCAGGAGTCAATCTTAATCACTCACTTCATCTAGCGCTAACCCAGAGCTAAAGCACCACACACTGAAAATGTAGGCACAATGTTCCACCTAGTATTAATTCTGGCTTTAGATCGAAAGTGAGAGGTTAACCTCACATTCTGAGGAAAGATCCTTTAATATCAATTAGAAAGGAGCTCCAGTCAGGAAATGAACCACAGCTGTCCAGATTGTGGCCAATAATATTTTCTGTCTCCAGAACAAACACACAATGCTGACCACATAAGAGTCCCGATAAAAGATTATTTGAAGCGTTTGGTGTTAGTGACCTTTCAAGTGCAAACAGTTTTGTTTGTATGCATGATTTTATATTCTAATACACTGCACGATATGCAAGGTTTTAAGATGTCATACACACTTAAATACAAGGAAACTGTGCATCCAGACACACTTTTCCAGGATAATGGGGCACGACAAGAAATTAAGGGCTAGACCCACATATATTTACTTGACAACCTAAGAATATATTAAATCCAACATCAGAATAAAAAAGAAACAAATAATTACAACTATTGACATTGGCACAAATACATTATTTATTAACAAATACATGCAGAATTAAAATATAAGAAATTACATTTCATAAGTTATCTCCATCGTGAGCAATTTTTGCTCCTGTTATCACAGAATTCTGCCGCACCTGAGGTCAGCAAAATAAAATAAATTCTTCCAAAGTAGAAACTTTTGTAACACACATTCCCTTTATTCTCATTAGAATAAAGAAGTGTGTATGTTTCTTGTACTGTTATATGATGTCCATACATTAAAAACATTTAATCAGTCTGAAAGTTGAAGTCCATTTGCATGCTTCATCTGAAGAAATAACCAGAGAATTTTGGTCAAATCTGATATTTGAGTCCAGGCAAAATGGGCAACCTTCATGTGTTTACAGAGGGTCCAGCTTTTATAAACTACTGGGCCCAGAGAATGTTTAAATGAAAATCAATGGCCTATATAGAAGCCAAGTTAAAACATCTTAATTGCTTCTCTACCAAGCCACAAAGATGCAAAATTCTATTCTGAAATATTAATAAAAGTCTAATTTCATTATGAAATTTACAACTATATTTCATCCAGGAAACATTTTTGCTCATTCTATAGTTTCTGATTATAAATTCAAAATTCTATTCCGAAATATTAATAAAAGTCTAATTTCATTATGCAATTTACAACTATATTTCATCCAGGAAAAATTTTTGCTCATTCTATAGTTTCTAATCAAAAAATTCATAAAACTTCACTGGAAAATCTTGCACAGGCCTATGGTGATAAAATAAATGATGCAAGGTACAAAAATTGTTATAAATTACCAATACCACAACATAAATTCCTCGTTACCCTTTACGGCGCAGAGTTGAGTGGATGTAAACTTCTCTGCCAGAGAAGCAAATCTCCGCAGGCTTCTACAAGCCTCTGACTGAAATAAAGTAACCTTTAATGAAGGATCATCACCTTGACTAGCGTAATATAAGAAAATACAACTAAGGCTATAAATGAAAGCAGAGGTAATTTAATTTGTACTTTCTGCGTATCATTCAATGTCATATTTGTCTGTAATTTCAGAACAGAAATTTTTATAATAATTATGTGACTACTCCATCATGCAGTATCTTCTTTGGGAAGTTCATATTTGGTTACCTAATCAATACATTTCATGTTGCTATAGAAATCAAAGGCCCATCATTATCTTCACACAACCATATGCTAAACCAAGTTCATATATTCACAATCATTTTCATTAAGATAAATTGTCCATATTGTTCCTTCACACATTCCTCTCTAAATGTGCTTGATGTCAGTGTCGTATTGAAGATTTCTGTCTTCTGGGTTGTTGTGCCGTGTAGTCTGGTCGATGTTTACCAACGTTTCAGAGGTCATACTGCCTCCGTCATCACTGTTACACTCCAGCTCCGACTACTTCTGCACTCACCATTAAGGGCCCAGGCTGCAATTGTTCCAGCCCTGAAAACAAAAATGTACAAAGTCCTGTGAAGACTAGTTAACTGGATTCCTGACATCAACATCACATTTTCTTCGTATTGCAGACACCAAATTCGCCCTAACCACTTTGATCTCTTAATTATTGTTACACATTTTAGTTAATGTGTGTTTACAGCGCCTTTTCAGAAATACAATGATGTGAAAACTGAGCTCCAGAAAATGTTACTAGGAAGTGGCTTTGTTAATTGAAAGCATATTATCATGAGGCAAACACAGGTGACACACAATTTTCCACTCAGCAGACTCTGATACTCTGATGGATCAAGAAAGCCTGTAGTATTGTTTTTACTTTATCCATTGCCAGTTTATTAAAATCATCAGATCACAACACTTGGAAGGATAGATCTTCTTGTGTCTTCAGTGTCAAAAGGAGCGAGGACAGAACATTTATTCCATCGGACCCTGCAAGACAAGCGACACTCAATCTGTGGTCAGATCTACTGAACCCAATGGAACAGGTGCCCCATTTCTGGCACCTGTAGATGAAGATCCATTCTTTGAAACCTTGTAGTTTGATAATTTTAACCAACTGATGGCAGCTTAAGTTGAAACCAATAAAATCAGTAATTCCTACTCGTTTCAACTACATAAATATCTTTGGTCCATGTTAGTTTCACATTCTGAACATCTTAACCTCTTTGAACTAATTACACTAACATCAGGTGAACTGTAGAGAGTATGAACCTCTTCATTATGCAGTTTCCTCCAACCTCCTCTTACTTATTGTTTTCTAGAGCCTAATATTCGCAGAACGCTGTTCTCAAAAACCACCAATTTAAGATTTGCTCAGAGTGAGACTTCAAGATTCATAAAGGTACAAAACAACATTCCATTTATCTTTAGAATTTTATAATCAGAGAAAATATTACAATAAAATGTTCATCAGGGATTCTAATTTAAATGTATAATCTGTTAAATGTTTATGCATTATTTTCTTTTAAGTGCGTCTGAGCGTTCATCCATCCATGAGCATATTTTATATCTGGAAATTTTAGATGGATTTCAATGTAATTTGGTGCTGGTACTAAACTTTTTGTTGGGTAAATTAAAATATAGTAACTTTTCTGTGTGCATATTATAAATTATATTGCACAAAGAACCTCTCAGTCTCTGCAGATGTAAAAAATAACAAGTGAATTTATTAACATCACACGGAACAAAATGATCCTCAAGATTACATCTAAACTTCTTAACCCTTCAATCTGATCACATGACTTTTGTACTATGTTGATACAAATTCCTTAAAGGTTCTGTAATAATCACACACCTGACTTGCTGGTTTAATGATGATCATCTGTGATGCTTTAGGTCAGAGGAAACAAAGGCTTGAATTTGGACTGCAACTCAAGGAAACTGGCTTTCTAGTGTTTAGCCTCTCACCTTGACAGCAGTTTCATGCATGAAACCTGTATCAGGATACTGCTGCAAAGACACAGAGACCAAGAGATGGCAATATCAAAACCAATTCCCATCTCATTATAACCTCCAAGCAAACATTAGTTTTGTTTATTTTTTTTAATGCTGAGTTGAGGAGATGCAATTTATTTGCATTTCCCATCACTCTGAAGCCACTTCTCACCTTCATCACACGCGGGCAGCTGCTTGTAGAAATATTAATCCACAAGTGGTGTCACAGCTCCTCAGAGTCGGCCTCGAGGTCAGCAGTTTCTCCTTCCACGACCATGCTTTTCTTGGTGCTGACTGTGCGAGCTATAAACAGAGCGCTTTTCATGGCCGTGCCTGCCACCACTGGGTTCACGACCAGGGGGATCCGTGAAGATTCCAGTCCAAACCCCGAGAGACCCAGAGATCCCCATGGGCGCAATGTCGCCACGGTCGTGGAAAACCATCGTTTGGATTCGCCCCTGCTCAGGTTAACCTTCCCATCCTTGAGGGTATATATCCCGTTCGTAGGATACAGTATAAGGCATTGCGGCAGTTTGTTCTGCTTGAGGAAGTGTTGCCAACTTCTGAACATGTAACAGTTAGAATCAAAGAAGCGGTGGTTACATACCTCATCTGCATAATCGTACTTCAGCACACGAATTAAGGGTACGGTGAATCTGTCTTTAACGCTTTTTGCACTCACAAAAACACACGATATCTTCACTTGTCCGAAATTAGCATATTTTCTCGTTTTCCTAACAATCATATCGCAGAGTTTCGTTATGGTTTTCACTTGTTTCTTCTTGTAGCCGCTAAACTTGTTTGTATTTTGTTGTTCAGGTGGACCAAATAGAGCCAAACCGACTCTTGCTTCCAGAAGAGTACGTTCGGACTGAAGAAACACGTCCCATTTCCGGTTTCCCCAGGTCTCACAGAATCTCTGCTGAGCCTCTCGGGCCGCGAGCTCCCATGCCAAGGTCTCTTCGTCTTCCCAATTCATCTTAGTTTCCGAAGACAGTGACAAACCTCGTCTGAGTCCAAAGATGTCTGCAAGAAACGAAACGCAGATGAATTAATTAGGATTCCCTATCACGTCTCACATTCTCCAAAGAACGATTCCTTGTTTAATAGCGTACTCTCAGTCCGTACGTAGGGAATGAAAACAAGAAAGAAATTGAAGAAACTAGTTAAAAATATATATTAAATTTTGTCCGTCTAATCACAATAAATTCTTATTAAATATCAAAATATTACAATAATTAACATTTAAAATATTAAATCATGTTCTTTATCGAAATATTCGATTTACATTAGACCATCATTTTTCATGTTTCAGTTCCTAAAAGAACCATCCTCAGGTGTATATAATTATATAAAGCTTCAAAACGATAAATAATTCAAATACAATTTTCATACATTACGCTGGCCAGAAGGCGCATGCGCAAGGAAGCTCTGACTGTGCAGTACAGGGAAGGCGCATGCGCAGAAAGACCGCGCGTGTTTCTGTCACGTAGGACACAACAAGCGATTCCCTTACGTCATATGACACCCCATGCTGCTTATGCAGCTCGCACAGCTCGATTCTTAACGCTTACCTAGGACATTGCCTTAATGCTAGCCTAACCCGTAAGACAGCTCTGGTCGACGGTCGCTGTTGTGTTACGAAGGGTTCAGCTCGGTGTTCCTTTGGATGAATAAGTAACGCGTACAAGGTTTTCTTTTCAAAACGAAAATATTACCAAAACAAGGGCGGAATAGTATATTTTTACATCAGCTATACACAAAGTTTGCGAATTTTACGTTTTCTGTACTGTCTCATATATTCTGCGTTATGGAGTCTTTTAGCTTCAATGTCATCCATCTTGTACATAGTATGACGCAACAAACTAACGCAACAACAGATTATTTAATAATTATTATATAAGATAAGTACCTCTGATATTGTAAAACGTTTTTAACAGCACAAAATTATCTAATCTACGACGCACTTCTACACATCTCAGCTCTTTCCGCAATAACGAAAGCGGATTGTTGACGACAGTAATTAAACACAACAATTCCGAATAAACAGATGATATTTCCTTACACTTTTTCGTTATACTTTTTTGTGGAATGACCCTTCAATATATATACGTATTTACGTCAAAAATGGCTACCTGACAACAGAAAACACGATTGTTAATGTCGTCAGTATTTGACAGTAACTATCTCCTATAAGCAACTCCTCAGCACGTCGAACGTCAAATTGAAAACTAGGGCGTGTCTTACCGATGACAACTTGAACGGATGGTATACGAATCCCAATAGAATTAAAAATTACGAAAAAATACTCTCATAACGAGTGTTAAATATGTTACTAATGGCTGATTTTAGTAAAGAAAATTACTGAGCAATACCTGAACCTTTCTACAATAATAAGTCCAATTTAGTGGCATGTTTAATAAAATTCTACGTCGTTTCAACAAATTAGCCCGACTTGTATGTAACTTTACGACAGCGCGAATGTAAAAAAAGGACTGGAAAAGTTTGGGAATCCCTGTGAAAAAAGACTGGAAGTAATCTTTAAACATTACAGACGTTCATTCAAACAAAACAGTCATGGATGACCAATAAATTCTTATATCGGTCAGTTTACTAACAGCAGTAATTGATTACACAGTCGGTGACTGAGCGGATCAATCTCTCCTTGTTTCTGGGATTGTTCCACACATACTCTCGTTAGTAAAAACGTTATATTTAAAAGTTTGTAATTTAAAAGTGAAACTGTTCAGTATGTGGCATCACTGTGCCTCATCTAGTGACAAAACGGCAACCATGTGGGTTGTTCCATTACCTCACCTGTCCATGAAACTTTCTAGAATCAAAACATCACAGGATGCTGAGTCAGAACTATGAGTCTCTGCATCACTCAAGGGCGTCTGCTGGAAGCCAGCCTCACACTAACTGTATCTAGAATATAGGTTGCCTATATTCTTTAAATTATTGCATCTCTTTAGACAGGAGAAAAAACATTTACTCCTATAAATATTCCATAAAAGGCCTAAGTTACAATCCTGGAATCGAAGCGTGGCCGTTAGCATATAAATCGTAAATAATGGCTGGCTCTTAAATAGTACCTTTGTACGAGAACACAAGTTTCAAATGCAAGCTTCCTAGATACTTATTTGACTTATTCATTTAATGATTCTGTTCATACCAGTATCTGGCAGCACACAATGTCTCACCTCCCTCCACAATTTTGTGAAGGAACCTTTATATTTTTTATTTTCCGCAGTAAATATTTTCAAAATTCATGAACTCAACTTACTTCATGGAGTAAAGTATTTCGACAAGTATTTCCTTTTTTCAACTTCTCGAGGTGTTCAAAAAGTAACCTGTTCACAGAAACACTATGAAAGATTGCATATACAAATAAGAAAATTATATTTCCGTCAATGACATATGAAGGATTAACTAACTTGACATTGGCGCAACCTACATACGTATAGTTTTCACTCACAATGATGTCATCGGATGACTGTTCCCAGAAAACACTCCCGTGTCATCACTCCTTGTTGATACAGCCTTCAAAACCTGGTGCAGTGCAACAGATTTTATTTTATAACAGAAATCATCACGGCTATAAAAAAAGCTCAAATTGGCAGTTCATGGCAATTAATTACACTCATGATGAAATAAGGATTAACTCTGAACACGCACGCTACAGCACACTTTGTAATTTCCTTTCCACATAAAAATGTACAGCATATACTCCTTGACCTAGGTGTGGATTTGAGGATAATTAGGACGGATCGTAGACAAATAGGATTCCGAGAATGTGGAATTTCTTGATAAACTGTTAATACTACCTTCTCAATAAATTTGCTTTATGGAGTCAGTTAAACACAAAGAATGATATTCATGAAACGCGTGAGATATTATGTTCTCACAGCGGTTCAAATGTTGAACGTGTTCTTCTGGGTTGTGACGTCATGTGGTATTGTAAGTGTTACCACCTCATAATGTTTTCCGAACGAATTTCAGTTCTTTGTATCCTGCTCTGTGCACACAACTTTCACACCCATATACAAAGGCTCGCATAGCCATTGTCTTATAAAATGTCAACCTCGTTTCCGTCCTTAGTAAAGGCAACGTCCTAAGGGAGACAACCCCATCATAAAATCAGAGTGCTTAAAGGTGGCATTCCCACCATATGACTTAGCTCTGGTCTGGTATCCCACACGAAATAAATAAATTATACTAAGAATATTCACAATATACATCCGGATATGCACTGTATCACACTATATACTAAAAACCTGCAACTAAAAATCAAAGCACGTACAAATAATTGAATCAGTATCGCAAATAAAACACCATCACAAAGATCAATTGATAAATGCTAATTGAGGAACTAAAAATCAAAGCACGTACAAATACTTTAGACCGCACCGCAAATGAAACACCACCACAAAGATCAATTGATAAATATTATTTGAGGAAATAATCCCTGCCTTACGCTGAAAATAATACAAAATGTAGTCTCTCGCTGTAGTTACAGCTGCTGATACAAACGGCTCCAAGGAGTTAAACAACAACGTTCATTCAATACTGATCGCTTACCTTACACATCACAGACCTTCTCACCATGACAGTTACGAAATGACTATGCACCACGATCATACCACTTGCTACTGCACCTGTCATAAGACAATCCTGTGCGAGTAAGCCCCATCGTACTCGTCAAATGTATGACATCACGGCAGGTTATGAACCAGCGGAAGAGAACACAAGTCGCCTTGATTCATTCAATGTACCGTTCGCACAACCCCGCGTCTTCCGATATGAAAAACTCTTCTTACTGACCACATGGGCTTCGAATAATTCACTGAATATACGATTTTTATTTCCCCACACAGAATTAAACATTTAATCTTGGTAATGGAGTTGCATCGCGTTTTCTTCAAGGTGGAAAACGTGTTTTAAAATATTATTTAAATTAGCTCCTGCTTCAGTAGGTTAAAGTACCTCCGTTGTTGATGGGTTCATTGTAACAGTTATTTTTAAAACATCCAGCCCTATCTGAATATTTAATATTAGTAATATAAGTAACTAAAAATAAATAAATTATTAAAGAATGTTACAGTGTGGTAATGTATAAACATTTGCCACAATATATTATTATTAAAGCACTAACTTGAAGCATTAAAAAATGGATTTCATTTATAACCTGTCAACCTACAAGTCAATAAGAAAGGGTTAATGAGACCCCAGACTTAAAAAGGTTGAGGAACTCTTAGCATGCGGTGCTATCAGCACAATTAAATTTTAATTTCACTGTTTTACTACATCAGAAGGATGCTGACCTTATCTTCATATGGTGGATTCTCCTTTCACATGACGCTTCGAGAATAACACAGAAATATAACAAATGCATAGCAGATAAAATGCCACTAATGCAAGAAGACCCAGCCACTGTATCATAAAAATTAACCTGATGTTGAGGAAATGTGATAAGCAAGTTTTGTAAGGCTAAATCATCACTGATATCAATATTCTCATAAAGGACACTGGGTCATTTAATGCAAACAATTCAAAATAGAAAAAGGAACTTGCATGGGACAATTGTGCAATTCACTTCACCTATAAATGGAAGGTTTGTTGTAGTTGGGAAGATGATAATGAAATGGGATGTGAAATTCTGAAGTGGTGTAGCACTTCTCATATTACTTCTCAGATCTACATTATGGTGCCCTCAATAATATCAATAAAACATTAATTCCATGTAGTTTTCTCCATCATTTCATCCATCTTAGGTCCTAATATTCTCCTAAGCACCCCTAATCTCTCAAAATATGTGTTAATAAAATGTTGAGGTGTTCATGTGTGAATTTACCTTGTCTGTATATTCATTAAAATTAGACGGTTCAATTTACAAACCAAACATTTTTCCTATTACTGAAGTTAAGTTCCTGATGAAGCAGTGGAATATTTGACTAGCAGAATACTGACTGTGGCTTCATACATAAATAAAACCACATCTAAAGGTAAAGTTTCATAGGCTCAACATCTCAATTTTAAATCCTGTAACAACAAATAACAGTATTTTCTAAAACAGGAATGAAAACATATATCCTTGGGGTGGCATTAACAGGAGCTATAGATCTCGACTGGAAAATATGTCACGTCATGTCTGTACAATGTGGTAATTATGAAAACCAAAAAGAGGACCACTCAGCAAAATACAATCATTTTTGCATAGACAGTGAGCTATGATGCATTGCGTCACTGAAGACCAAAAACAATCTTACTGACCACACATTGCACATGGGCTTCGAATAATTCCCAGAATATACGATGTTTATTTCCCCACACAGAATTAAACATTTAATCTTGGTAATGGAGTTGCATCGCGTTTTTTCAAGGTGGAAAACGAGTTTTAAAACATTATTTAAATTAGCTCCTACTTCAGTAGGTTAAAGTACCTCCGTTGTTGATGGGTTCATTGTAACAGTTATTTTTAAAACATCCAGCCCTATCTGAATATTTAATATTAGTAATATAAGTAACTAAAAATAAATAAATTATTAAAGAATGTTACAGTGTGGTAATGTATAAACATTTGCCACAATATATTACTATTAAAGCACTGACTTGAAGTATTAAAAAATGGATTTAATTTATAACCTGTCAACCTACAAGTCAATAAGAAAGGGTTAATGAGACCCCAGACTTAAAAAGGTTGAGGAACTCTTAGCATGTGGTGCTATCAGCACAATTAAATTTTAATTTCACTGTTTTACTACATCAGAAGGATGCTGACCTTATCTTCATATGGTGGATTCTCCTTTCACATGACGCTTCGAGAATAACACAGAAATATAACAAATGCATAGCAGATAAAATGCCACTAATGCAAGAAGACCCAGCCACTGTATCATAAAAATTAACCTGATGTTGAGGAAATGTGATAAGCAAGTTTTGTAAGGCTAAATCATCACTGATATCAATATTCTCATAAAGGACACTGGGTCATTTAATGCAAACAATTCAAAATAGAAAAAGGAACTTGCATGGGACAATTGTGCAATTCACTTCACCTATAAATGGAAGGTTGTGTGAAGGTATGTGACTTTTTGATATTTCATAATTGTAAAATGAAAAACAATACAGATTATATACTTAGTTTTGAGGTATACAGAGTTTACAAATTAGATTAGGTTTAAGATTTGTTAAATGTGTTGAGAATTAGAAGTACAGCTAAACTGGTTATCATCCCATGAATGAATCATTCAATCAATCAATAGCTGGTTAGTCGCAATATGACCCAATTCTCTGCCTTCTCCATCTCGATGGAATATTTGATAAGATAACGTAACCCTGTATCAATTATCCACAATTCACAAAAAATTTAGAATAACAATTTTAACAACAAAATAAGGACACACATCCCTGTGTTAAAACATTGTTTTTTGTCAATAACTTCTCTCAAGGTCAGTAAATAAAAACATGGAGGCCATTTTTTTACCATAGTCGCTGGACTAACAAGAGTTCAACTGTACATGAAACGAAACAGGAATTAACCTTCAAAACAATACTTACCTCAGAGTTTGATGCCAGCATGGGTACTTTTACTTTCTGTGATGTTTTCTGCAGGTCGCAAGACTCTCGTTCTCTCACCACCAAACCAGACTCATGATAAGATAATTTAGTGCACGGCACAAGTTTTTATCTACCTTGAAGTCTGTCAATATTTGTAAAAGTCTTGCTTACAGATAACCTGGAGCTCAAGGTTCAACAGAACAATGAATAACACAGAATGGCTTTACCAAAAGGTTACAAGACCACACGGTATATCGACTGTACTCTTGTAGGTTATTACCAAAGTTCTTTATAATATCAACATCTCATCACTTCACCCTGAAGAGAGAGGTCATATGTTCCTCTAAAATGTGTATAACTATTGTTAGGTTAACAGCCCATCTACAAAACGTTTTATTATAGTCTCAATCCACTGCATGAAGATTTCAGTCTTCATTCTCACCGCTGTGAAAAACCTCAGATCTTACACACAATCGACTACATGTTTCAACCTTAACCGATTATGTTCAGGTGGCTATCGTAAGTGTTCGGAACTAACAGATACGGCCGCTAATCTGTACACATATTTTCAGCAAAAGAAATGGTGCTTAAGAACAGGTTGCTGGGAAGAAATTTTGATTTAAGATAGAACTAACAGGAGAATTGAGACAGTTTCATAAGCGTCATAAATTGTGGTCTTCATAAGATATTATTAGAGTGACCAAATCAAGGACGATGAAGTGGGTGGGCTTAGAGTACACATGTGGGGGTGAGGACTAAGAAATGCATTAATAATTGTACTTGGAAAAACTAAACGAAAGAGATTACTTGGGTGATCGAGCATAGATGATCATATTAAAATATATCTTGAAGAGATGTGGTGTGAGGATATGGACTAGATTCATCTGACTTATGATAAGGCCCAGTTAAAGGCTCTTGTGAACACATTAATTAAAATTCAGGTTCCATGAAAGGGAAATTTCACGGCTAGAAGATTCACCGTCAGCTTCTGGATGGGTAACGATGAATGTCATGGCCATTTTTTACCATAGTAGCTTCTGGATGGGTAACGATGAATGTCGTGTGGGCAGTTTCTGTAATTCAGAGCCAGGTGGTGAATACATCTGCAGTCGCATCATCCTGAGGACAGGGCACTACGAGGCAGGTCGAGTAGTTGCAGCTCTGGACACTCCCTCAATTCCTATGGAGCACATCAAAATGAAACATAAATCCTACAAGTTTTTACTTCTGTTTGATATGGATGACTGATATGAATTATGGGTTTAGAGTATGCTTAACATTATGAAAAGTCCTTAAAAAGTGGTCTGAACAAAGGAGTAACTTAAATATTTGTGGAGAAAAAACAAATTAAATTATTTAAGGACCTTAGATAGCATGTACAAAACATATCGAAACATGTACTTTCTCATTATGATGACTGTCTGCATCTGATGCTACGATACATCAGATGCCTTATCTAAAGGTACAATTTGGCTGCACGCGACA